CACCCTACTTTTCACAGCATGAGTCACTGCCTGACATTTAAATTCTGTATCTGGTTTTTAGTTCCCCTCTCGTGCACCTCCCAGCAACTAGTATCTCCTTCTCAAGGTGATTTCCTGTCTCCCCAACCCACAGCACATTTCCACCTCTAACTTTGCTAAATGTCTGCAATTCACCTTTGAGCCTAACCCTGGCAGGGGATTTGCACTTCATTAGGGCAGTTTGAGGAGGTTGGAGGGAAGGGACCTCTTTTAATCTGCTTACTGAATGGCACCCTTACCAAGAGAGAGATGCCTGAATCCCATGGCTGGAAGGTCAACATGCAGGCTGGGGGCATCCTGTTAGTGAGAGGCCCACTTCCCACCTGGCCCAGCAGTGCCAGCTGCTGGGCAAAGAGGCCCAACTAAAATATCATGTGGGACCCTTCCCAGAGGCCATCAATGGGAGGTGACACAATTACTTCTATATGCCACACAAAATGGCATGAATTTCTAGGAGGAGGCCACCCAGGTTGTAAATCTGTCAGACTGGCCTTTCCTAATCAATGGGCCTTCTTGGGTGCTAAGAGGCTCACCAGATGTTGACACTGTCATCTAAGCCTTGAAAAGTCAGAGAGATGGAAATTCTGCAGTGAGATCTTTCCAGAAGGAATATGGCCACAACATTTTTAATTAAATTAAGGGGCTAGGGGTTGAAGCTATGTTCTTCTTTCTCCTGACCCTCCCCTCTCTGCAAACACAGTGCCCACTTTCAGGCTTTACTTTATTTACCTTCAGGTGATACCAAAGAGTCTGGATAATCTTTACCAGGCTCCAAGGAGCGTGTTTGGTGTCTTAGAAAAATGTTGGGAAGGGAGGCAAGACAACAGAATGCTGTGGCTGAAGTCAGGTTCCATTTATGAAGAAGCAAATGCCTTTGGACAAAGCCCAGTGGGGTGCACTGGGTCAGCACTGATCCACGGGGCAGGAGAGGAAGCAGCGGCCATCCTCCCAGCAAAAAAAGCAACCCTGGCTTCACAGAAGAGGCACTCCAGAAGATTTTCTCTAAATCCCAGGCCTCCTCTAGAAACTGCAGACTGCAACTTTTCAAACCTCTGTCTGTGTCATTTCTCCAGTCCCACCCTCCACCTGAGCACCCACCTCCCTCTCCTCCCTAGGACCACCACTCTGCCCTTACCCCCAACCTCCCTCAACTGCATCTCCCCATAAGTGGCACCTCTCCACCTCTCTGTTTTGCGGGCTACAGCCTGGGCCCACTGGATTCAACTGCCTGTTTTCCCAGGAAAGGAGCGTGTGAGGCTTATGGGTGCCTGAGTCATTCTGCCACAGAGAGACTGTCCCTGCAGGTTGTCACCTCGATCAAACAAGTCAGTGCAGAGAGACAGGAATGCCCCTCTCCTTGCCTGACCTGGTCTCACCTAGTCTCACTTTTCTGAGTTAGGTCTCAGCATGGATACACTCTCATGGGACTGAGACTTAAATCCTCTCTCTGGGACTTCTAGGTTTCTGAGCAATTTTTCACCCCTAGGAAAACCTTCAAAAGCTCTCCCTCCTGTCCTGTTACAGAAGATGAGACTCCAGAAATTTAACAACCAAATGCCATGTGTGGATCCTGATTTGAACAAAACTATTAACAGGATACCCTTGAGAAAGAGGGACATGTGAATACAGAATGTATATCTACATTATATTAAGGAATAAATCTTGATCTTGGTGTGACAATGGCTCAGCAGTAACGTTAAAAAGAAAGTCCTTATCAGAGATTTATGCTGAAGAATTTATGAGTTAAATAAATCTGCAGTTGCTTTAAAATACTCCAGAAAAAGTAGTAGTGGAAATGAATGAGAAGGACCAGCCATAACTTACTTGCTATTAAAGTTGGATAATGGGTACATGGAATTCACTACACCGTTCTCCATATTTTGGGCAGATTTTGAAATTTTCCCACAACGAAAAGCTAAAAGCAAAACTCTCCCTCATTTTAATCTTTGAAATCTCCTTCTCTTTAATCTCCATTTCACACGTCTAGGTTCCTGACCCCAATATGGCCTCATCCCCATCCCTCCAAACTCTACTGGGCACCTTCTCCACGAGGCTACAGCTTGGGGGCAGTGCTTGTGGGGAGATCTTCGTGAGAATGTGTTTGCCCTCTGCTGCCCCTCTTACCCTTTCTCAATCAGAATTGGCCTCTCTCCTATTTTCTGGAATACCAGGTACCTCTATTTTATCACTCACTACAGCCTTTCCCATCTCCCAGTTGGCTGGGCCCCATCTGTCCCAGACCCTGAGTCTCTTATCTGTCACATTCCTTCAGAGATAGAGCACAACGAGTGTTTGTTCAACTGAACTAGCCCCTTCTGCTGCTCAAATAGACCCGCTGCTGGGTGTCCTCTCCAAGGCAAAAAATCTTTTCCACAGGCCAAGAGTTTCATAGACAAAGGAGAAAAGGCCATTCAGTTCCACAGACATTTCCCGAGGCCCACTGCAGGGGTGCTCTTCCGGCACACAGCCACTTCCCACACAGGCCAACTGAACTGCATGCTTGTGAGGTGGGGAGCGTCCATCCTCATAATCATCTGCAGGGAAGAGTGGGCTGTGTGGGGAGAGGGTTCATGGGGGAGAGTCTGGCTTCTCCTGTCATTATTACTCTGTCCCATCCCTTCCCTGCCAGCCTCCTGCCTCTGCAGAATCATCAATTACCATGTCATCTCCCCCCTTCCGCGAACAAAGCTGAGTAACCCGTGCCATGTCCATCTGCCTCAGAGCAGGGACAGGCAGCCCTGGGCACTGACCCTCCAGCTTCCTCAGGAATCACTATTCAGGAAGATGTCACACACTCACTCTCCTGTGCTCAACAGCCTCGGATGGTGTTTGCACAGAGCACAGCGTGGTGGAGGAAAAACCCACTGAGATGGCTGACAGGCCTGCCCCCAGGGCAGTGCCCCCAGGCCTTCTCCCTTAGGCACCAGTGAAACATTCCGCTCCTGACACCTCAACCTGCCATCAGCCCGGCCCTGCTCTCAGCACTGCTGTTGGAATGCCCGCTGTGGGCATGGGGGAGGCGTTAGGCAGGTCCTCTGGCTGGGGGTTCCGCAGGCCACTTGGCCCCCCTTGGCATCAGGTGCTGCGGTGCTGATCAGCCAGACGACAGAGGAAGGTCACAGTCACCTCTGATCTCCCTAAAACACTTGGGGGCATTTGTCAGTTCACCTTGATTTGACTTTGAAAGTTCTCAGTGTAGAAAAGGGTCTGTTTATAAAACATCTAAATGACGCATAGTTACCAATGACTGGACATGAACACGGATTCCACTACTGTGAGAAAAAGCACCTACAGCTCTGGGGCTGATTAGCTGGGTGATTTTTAGACAAGTCCTTCCTGTAAAATGCTATAAAATGAAGGTGTCCAGTGGTTCACTTTTGAGGCTGATGCTACGGTTGTAAAATAAATACTTCTCCCTCCTTTTTTCCAGTCTCACTAATTCAAATCCACATCAACATCAGTATCTCACTCCTTTATTGCATTTTATTTTGACCTCCACAAGAAAGTTTGCCCTGAGTTGCTCACCTGGGGGCTTCCTTTCTGTAGGAAGCCTGGCTGTATGAGGTCAAGGCCTGTTGACATAGCCAAATGGACCTTTAGTATTTACAGTGTCTTGTGCCAATGAGTACATCATGTCCCATGATGAGCCAGGTAGGTTCTTGGAGAAATCATAGATGGGTCATTGGTACCAATTCTCCCAGGCAGGCACAGGAAATAGGGTTGTGCCATCTTCCATTGATTCCAAAACGCACATCTGGGGATCTCTGAAATCAGAGCTTCTCTCCCGATCGATGGCATCATACCATTACTGTAGGTCTAAAGTGAAGGCAGGTGTTCCGAGAGATGACCCCAGTGCTTCTGCCAGCCATCAGGGGCCACCCAGCCTCAAACTGACATTAGATTCTCTGCTTGAGGTTCTATTGGATCGCACTGACTGTGCACATTTGAAAAGCAGAGCTGCATGAGTACTACCAACCTGGAGCTCCTGTGCTCAGGGGACGCCCTTCCTGCCCTCCACCTAGTGTCAAGGCCGAGACACACAAGTTCCCTTGCTTTCCCTCTCAGCACGCTCGCTGGCTTTAGTTCTCCCTTTCCCTCTCAGCGAGGGTGTCTCAGCTTCTCAGGGGGCTGGGGGGTCTCCTATTGCACTTCCCATCTTGGGCTTTTCTTCTTTCTTCTTTGGTACATAAAACATGGATGCATCTTACATTTGGTGAAACTGCAGGATCTTATACTTGATGAAAATGTTTCTGTTACAAATACTATATGTGAAATTTGAAATGGTCAGCAGTCTAATAGAAAACGAGGTAGGATTTTGAAGAAATAGTTTCATGAGATCAAAATCTCATGTCTTGTTCTAAACCACTTCCGGTCTGTGCTGCCCGCTGGGCATTTCCCCCATCACGGTTCCCCGTGGCTCTTGAGATAAAGGCAGAACTCTTTAATATGGTAAAGCCAGGCTGGTCCTGCCCCCTTTCCAGCCGTATCTGCACCCTGCCCTTATTCTCTTCCTCCCAGCTTTTTTCTGTCTGTGCGATTTCAGCCTCCCAGGCCCCCATCCACCACAGAGCCCTGGCATGAGGGCTCTGTCACAACACTTCTTTCTCCCTGGTGTGCTTAGCTGATCTCACCTCCAGCGTCACCACCTCAGGGACGCTTTGCCTGACTAGATCAGCCCCCCACTGTAGGTTCATGCAACACTGCATGCTTCCCTTTCATAGCATTTCCCAGCTGCAATTCTATACTTACAGAATGTCCTCGATTAATGTTGAAATCCTTCACTGGACTGTGAACTCGGTGAAGGCAGGAAATGTGCCTGTTTTCACTCAACACCCAGTGCCAAGCCAGGTGCCTGGCAATTGGCAAGTGCTGAAAAATTATTTGTGAATGGATGGATGGGTGGTTCTGGTTATACCTGCCCCTCAAGTAGAGAGTAAACTCCTGGAGCCTGGGCAACTGACATTAGATTCTCTGCTTGAGGTTCTATTGGATCGCACTGACTGTGCACATTTGAAAAGCAGAGCTGCATGAGTACTACCAACCTGGAGCTCCTGTGCTCAGGGGACGCCCTTCCTGCCCTCCACCTAGTGTCAAGGCCGAGACACACAAGTTCCCTTGCTTTCCCTCTCAGCACGCTCGCTGGCTTTAGTTCTCCCTTTCCCTCTCAGCGAGGGTGTCTCAGCTTCTCAGGGGGCTGGGGGGTCTCCTATTGCACTTCCCATCTTGGGCTTTTCTTCTTTCTTCTTTGGTACATAAAACATGGATGCATCTTACATTTGGTGAAACTGCAGGATCTTATACTTGATGAAAATGTTTCTGTTACAAATACTATATGTGAAATTTGAAATGGTCAGCAGTCTAATAGAAAACGAGGTAGGATTTTGAAGAAATAGTTTCATGAGATCAAAATCTCATGTCTTGTTCTAAACCACTTCCGGTCTGTGCTGCCCGCTGGGCATTTCCCCCATCACGGTTCCCCGTGGCTCTTGAGATAAAGGCAGAACTCTTTAATATGGTAAAGCCAGGCTGGTCCTGCCCCCTTTCCAGCCGTATCTGCACCCTGCCCTTATTCTCTTCCTCCCAGCTTTTTTCTGTCTGTGCGATTTCGGCCTCCCAGGCCCCCATCCACCACAGAGCCCTGGCATGAGGGCTCTGTCACAACACTTCTTTCTCCCTGGTGTGCTTAGCTGATCTCACCTCCAGCGTCACCACCTCAGGGACGCTTTGCCTGACTAGATCAGCCCCCCACTGTAGGTTCATGCAACACTGCATGCTTCCCTTTCATAGCATTTCCCAGCTGCAATTCTATACTTACAGAATGTCCTCGATTAATGTTGAAATCCTTCACTGGACTGTGAACTCGGTGAAGGCAGGAAATGTGCCTGTTTTCACTCAACACCCAGTGCCAAGCCAGGTGCCTGGCAATTGGCAAGTGCTGAAAAATTATTTGTGAATGGATGGATGGGTGGTTCTGGTTATACCTGCCCCTCAAGTAGAGAGTAAACTCCTGGAGCCTGGGCCAGTTACGGAGAGAAGAAAGAACAATAGACATATCATCAGAAGGTCTCAAGTCTTATCACTACTGGGACCTTGGGAAAATCACTTCCTCTCTGTTTCCTCATCTCCAACAGGAAATAACATTTACCCCATCTATCTGATAAGGGTTTCAGCGAGCTCTGAAACAATAAAATCCGTTCCTTCACCCCCAAGCTTCTAGCACAGCACTGCCCACACTCCATGCTCTGCCTATATGGGCTGGTTGGCTGGCCCTTCCTGTAGGAAAAGGGGGGTGAGATCACAGAGTCCTTGAGGAGCTGTACTCAAAGCTTGGGATCAAGAAGTGACGACTGATCTTCATGCTTCTCAGTCTTAATAACCACCATCTTCAAAAACTCTGTCACAGAGTTTCAGAGACCTTTCAGGGCCCAATGCCCAAGTACATAGTAAAGGAACCTTCTCCTTGAGTCTTTCGGTCTTTATTGCCAATGCACGGTTGGAGCCCTTAGCCAGAATAGGGGAAAGCTGGGAAAGGGTGAGATGCTGCCCATCCCTCTTGCTCTGTAGGCTTGATCTTCAGACAGGAACAGGGCTGGGTAGGGACAATGAACTGCTCCTCCTTCTAGGACACACTTCCTGGGTCAGTCATTGGACGGTATGAGGCAATCCACCCATACCCGACAGAATACATGAAGTTGCTTCTGTACCTCTGGGATCTGAATTTTAAGGTGGATATTTATAGCAAAGCCTCACTATTTCTTCCCATATACAATTGTCTTAGAGTTGGGCGTCCTGAGGTTCTGATTTATCTATATCAAGTAGCTATGAATGGCCCTAAGTCAGTCATTGCCTTTTCTGAGTCAATTTCCTCATTAGATGGAAATATTAGTAACAACAATAATAATGCCACCCACCTTCCTGCCTCACGGAGTTCTTTTAAGGATCAAAGACGTAAATGTTTTGTAAGTGGAAAGTCAATGCAAGTGAAAGGCAGTATTTTCTCTGTGCATATTAAATCCCTTCTTCAGCAGCTATAAAGCACCAGGCTGACTTACTGTTAACCCTAGTTAACTCAATATTACCCAAATTCTGCCACCTATAAGGCATGTAGATGGGAAGTGAGATGTGAACAAATCTATCAGCACAAATCAATTATCAAGCATCTCTCAGGCGCAGCCGTCCTCTCGCTGGAGAAGGGTATGCTGAGGGGTATTCATTCTGAATTGTTTTTAACAGCTTGGCTGCCCAGCCAGCCCCTCTCCCAGAAAACCAGTTGGTGAGAGGAGGTGCAGAATAAGTAACCAGCTGGCACCTCTGGGCTTCTGAATTCTGTGAAGGGGCTGGAAGACTATGCTACAGACACACACCCCTAAAGGATAATTCTAGCCAATCCAGGGCAGTAGGGAATGTGCTTCTGCAAACCACCCGGGATGTATTACTGACTAGATTCTGGGCTCAGTGCTTCAAGCTGGCCAAGACTTCCTTGCTGCGTGACCCGTTGAACAGCTCCACTAGGGACTCGCTGGCATCTGGGTGGATCATGGAGCCCAAGCCATCTGTGCTCCCACTCTCCAGCTGGAAGCTGCCCACCAGTTCCTGGATCCACTGTAGGTCTGCTGAGAGCTCCTGTCTCAGAGCTTCAAACTGCACCTGCAGATGGTCCAATTTCCTGGCCACACTTCCAAGGCTGGACCCTGTGGCCTGGATGTCCTGTCGCAGGAGCTTCTTCAAGGACTCCACTTTGCGGAACTCATACTTGAGCTGGGACAGCTGGTGCCGGGTGTTCTCGCTCTCCTCTCGGTACCAAGCCTCCTTCTCATTGTAGATGGAGACCAGGGCTTCCACATCATCCCGGATGGTGTCCTGGGCCACCGCCAGGGCACGGCATCCCTGGTCCACCTGAGCCATGTCATCAACCACACGTGCAAAACGCTCAAAATTGACATAGGTGTTGTTGGGAGGCATGCTTGAGTGGCATTTGAGGGTGTACTCTCTCAGGTGCTTTGTCTTCAGCTGGGCAGGCTCTGTCTTCCGCTGTTCTGGGGCCCTGACTTCTCCTTTGGACTGGTGGGTGTTTAGACAGAACAGTCAGAATTAATTTGATGACTGATCTGAAGGGCAGTCCGAAGTGCAGGCAGAAGGCACGTGAGCAGACTCTTTGGCATTCGCTGCATGCACCAGGCCACAGGGAGGATCCGAGTGGGATGAGTATGCCCACAGACCATAAGGCAGGCTGAGTTTGGGGTGCTCCCTGCATGCTCCCTGCAGGGCCATTAGAGAGCATCTCCGCACGCATAGCATTTAGGGGTGCTCACACAGACAAGCAACCTGTAGCCAGGACTCTGCAGGCACCCACTCGAGGGCAGGAGCACACAAGGCCACGGCCAGCAGAGGATGGCTGATGGGTACCTCTCTTCCAGGGCCAGCAGGCTCCCTGAGCCTCAGTAACACTTGGCACCTGAGCAGCCAGGCAGCAAGAGGGACTCCCCAGCTCTGGACCCACCTGAAACCTGGAGGGCCCTTGGCCTTCCCCCGCCTTCAAGAGCAAATGAACCCAACCTTCTCCCTACACCCCCACCCTCCCTGATATCCATCTTCTGCAGGTCTCTGCCCCTTCTCATCTGCAGCTCCAGTCATCCTCGCCAGCCTCTCATTTAATAATTCAGGTGGATGGGAAGCCTGGTGACATCCCTGGGAGTGCACATCTTGTCAGACAGCAGAGCTGGGGCCAGAATCCTGTTCTCCTGACTCCCACCCTGCCACCGTGCTCTTCACTAGCATTTGACTATACTGTGATTGGACTGCAAGACCCCGGAGAAACCAGCAGCTAGAAGCCCAGTTATAAGGCAGGTTAGGCAGGGAGTCAGCTTTGTGCCTCCCCCTCCCCAGAGGGAACAGAATTGTCCTAAGAAAGTTGCTGCCTCTCTTCCACACCAGGCCTCTATCTTGGAGCCCCATTGAGGTGTCTGGGTGCCTGAGGAAGCTGAGTGACTGTCTGAGCATCATCCTTTACTCAGAGCCCCAAAATTCACAAAGAAGGAGGCTGGTTACAAAGTTGAGCTTTTTAATTGTCATCAACTTCCCTCTACAGCTGATTTCTGCTTGTGAATGACGGTGATATGTCCTCTAACAGAGAACACTTTGTAAGATGGCCCCAAAGAGAAAGGTTTTCAACTGAGGTTTGTGAGGGTTTCAATTCATAAGTCACCTAAACCCATGGAATATAAACTTATAAGCGCATTTGACAAGCCCAGACCCTTCAGAGCCCCCAAGGGTTAGTGTTTTAAGCAAAGGCCATTCTGTGGGCCCTCCGCACCTGGCCAACCCTGCCGGCTCTGGCGACAGAGCAGGGCCCTGCCTGCGCACTGGAACTCATCACATGCCCTTACCATGATCCAGGGGTGTCTGAGGGCCTCTTGGATTGTGAGCCGTTTCCTGTAATGAGGATCAGAAAACACTGATGACCCATGTGGACAGAAGCTGAGACCAGCAGTCTTCATTCTTACTCTTCTGAGACCTGCATTGATGGCACTGCCAGCAAACCAGGAAAAGGCGGGGATGCAGAGGTAGATGGGGAACTGGCTGAATTCCCTGCACTCCCAAGAAAGTAGTCCAGGCAAACCCCTTGGTAAAGAGACATTTCATAAGCCCTCATTTTCGGCCCCAAAGTTGAAGGGCGTAATGTTGCACCAGAGGACAGGCCAGTCACAGAACTCTTTTGAGCTGTCAGCTCTCCATCGCTAAGCCTTTGGTCTCTGTTTCTCTGTTTGCTTCCCAGGTCCCTTCCCTGCCCTACCCTGCTCTGTGCCCAGGGAGGGTAATCCTACCTAGTGTTGCCCTTAAATAGGGAAACCAGGCTCTGCACTTTAGAGTTCCCCCACTATGACTCTTGGGACCAAGAGGACACGGCCTTCTAGAATCAGGCCTTACCGTGCACCATCTAGGCCATGCTCTGGGCACCCAGCACCCTGTAAGTCCCTGCTCATCTCCTGATTTGACCCCACAGCTGCAAAAGCTCACCCTGGGCCCTGAAGAAAGGTTAGAATTAGCAGGTCTCCTATTCTTCCACATACCAACCCCTCTGAGCCAGACTCCCTGATTTCATCTGAATTGGCTTGAAAACTCTGCCACATTCCTTTTCAAATGCTAGTTCCAGGTGCCTTTGTTAGTTCCAGAATGCACAGACAATGAGCTCTAGAGAAACCTAGACTGACTTCTACACACGCACACATGTGTGTGGGCATGCGCGCGCGCACACACACACACACACACACACACACACACACAGTTGTTTGCATTCAGCAGGCAAAGAAAGCAGAAAGATGAGAGCAAACAAGATGAATGCCAAGTCTTGGCCAGTCCACTCTTCTCAGCACCTGCTCAGATTCGACCGCAGTGGTGCAGATGATAGCCCGTGGCAAAGCAGAGACAGGCTAACACATCTTTGGGAAAGACAACAAAGGAGGTGAGCATCGGTACCTGATAATCCCACAAGATGAATGCCAAGTCTTGGCCAGTCCACTCTTCTCAGCACCTGCTCAGATTCGACCGCAGTGGTGCAGATGATAGCCCGTGGCAAAGCAGAGACAGGCTAACACATCTTTGGGAAAGACAACAAAGGAGGTGAGCATCGGTACCTGATAATCCCGTGCCCTTCTCTGTCCTCTTACCGAGTCTCTTTAACCAGAAGTTTCCGAATGAAGTCCTTGGCCAGCTCACTGGTCTGGCTGAAGAATTCCTCGTCAAAGTCATAACTCACTGCTGTGATATTTGCCAGCGTTTCCTGCTTCGTGTCTCCCAGGAAAGGGGACGCTCCACTAAGGCTGAGCACACAAGAGGGAACATGTGACCGTAGGAAAGTAGATCGGGGTGGGGGTGGGGGACTCAGGGAACCCTGTTACACGGGGTTGGGAGGCTCCCAGCAACCAGGCAGCAGCCTTTTCAATCGAGTCCAATTCAGTACACTTCATGGAACTCCTCCTAAGCTCTTGACAGAGAGAAACTGCACCTTCAAGGGAGTTGAGAAAGGAAGGGAGAGAAACAGAGTCCTGGCTCGTTATAGTCCCCAGCGGAACAAAGCACAATCTAATAGAAGGCCAGGCCTGGGGATGCACAGGACAGAGGGTCCCAGTGCAGGCTGCATGGGAGAGTTGACATTTGACATCCGCTGTGTCTTGAAGAATGAGGAGGTTGTCAGCAGTCAGAGGAGATGGAAGTCCTTCTAGGCTAAGGGAGCAGCTTGAGCAAAGCCTGAGAGGTGTGGAAATAGATGTGTCATTAGGGACTGGAACGTGTGTAAGGTTCCCCTGCAGGGTCTGTCAAGGATGTGCCATTCAGACAGTGACTCGTGAACCAACTCTGTCATGACTCACACTCCAGTTGTGTATGGGATACATCTACCAGATGTGCCATGGTCTCAGAAGTCACCCAAACTCCCTCCATGAGCTTCTGCTTTGACTTATGATGTCACTTCACAGATGTACCCAAACTAGAAATGCAGGGGTCACCTCTGACTCTTCCTTCCGTTCCCTCATAGGAAGTTTGTAACAGGAAGTTTGTAAGTCCTGTGTTTCTGATGAGAGAAACAGGCCCAGAGGTTAATTAAGTATTTGCCCAAGGCCACAGAGGTGGAAAGTACTAGATCCATTTTACATGGAGCTATGCAGGAAATCTTTGCTTAAGCAACTTGAGGCTTCCGGGACAGGAAAGACAGATTCTGGGGGCAGGAGGAGAGGGAATGTGAGAGCTGGGGAAAGAAAGGAGAAAGGAGAGAAAGAACACGCAGAATCAGGGCAGCCCGGCGGCTTGAGGGCTATCCTGAGGCTTCTGAGTGAAGCCCACCTTCTGGCAGGAAGCCTCAGCCGGGGTGGATGCTGGGCCCTAGCAGTGATGAGGCCCAGGCTGTGCAGAATGGGGGGCTGCCAGCTGCTCTCCCGGGTTCCTGCTCAACCTCAGCCCCAGCTCAAATGTATGAAGTGGAGCTAAGAGCATGTCGCCTCAAGTTAGCTGTGTGGATGTTGCATCTGGCTCACAGTAAATGAGTAAATCAGTAAAATCAGTGAGTCTCAGGCTGTCTGCCTGCCCCCTTCCCCTTCCTCCCAGTTTCCCTAGGCCTCAGCTGAGCGCTGGGACTGGGGGTACTCACAGGATGTAGGTGATGACGCCAATGCTCCTGTGAAACAGAGGACAGGCGAGTCAGGGCTGTTCCAGCTCTAAGCAAGGCCAGCAGGGGGCTCCCCACACGGTTCGCAGGGGAAGCAGTCACGTGCCCCTCTATAGCAGCCACTGGATGCCACCTCAAGCCCCATGCCCCTCTCCATCCCACTGTCAGCAGCAGCCTGGGACACGTTTGGAGTCATCAAGGTCTGGACATTGGGCCCAAAGACCCAAGTTCAAGATAGACTTCTGTACTTGCAGGCCGTGACTGGGACAAGTCCCTCATCACCTCTGAACCTCTTTCTCCTCATAAGGTAAGGATAAGGATAACCACCTCCCAAGACTGCTGCGAGGATTTCAAAACCAGGTAATCAAGGTGCTCAGTCAACTATAAAGCACTGTTCAAACCAGAGGTCCCATCTGTGCTGGGAATCGGTCAAAGCGGTATCCCCACAGGGCTCCCCTGGTTGACTGGCCAATGAGCTATTGTTACTTTATCTTTGTTAGGCTGTGGCAGGCCTCAGGGGCCAGCCTGCAGCTCTAGCCTCCCCTCTCTTCTAGTTCTCTACCTTGGCTGTGTTCTAAGTGGCCCCAGGGCCAGGCCTAGTTGTCTCCAGCTGCCCAGAGAAGGTCCAGCACACCTGGAGCAGCCAGAGGCTCTGAAAGGTGAGTGTGGAGAAAAGGGTTTCGTGGTCAAGGTCGGGGGGCGGGGTCAGCCGAAGCCAGGGTCTGAGGCCTTCTGTCCTTGGAAGGATCCCTAAACAACTTACCACATGTCAGCCTCCAGTCCCAGGGGCTCATAATTGACAATTTCTGGAGCTGAAAGAAACCATATTGGGGGATCAGCAGGTGTATGAAAATGAGAAGAGACTGCTGTAGGGAATTTTAGGGAGTTTGGTGCCAAATATCTCTATCCTGAATCCCCACTAAGGAAAATCAAAGCAGCAGGTAGAGATAATCTGGGTCTAAGCATTTTGAGGAAGTAAATTGCCTGTTACGCTGGTAGAAACCTTCTACAAAGAGGCCTTCATAGTTAGGAAGAGGCGCACCCGGAAAAGGAAGAGGAGGATGGGGGAGGAAGATGCAGAACGGGGAAATGGGGCCCAGCTCCAAGGTCTGCATTAGCACTGTGTGCGGGCCACTTGGGTCAGTGCTGGGAGGTGATGGAGGAGAAAAGAAGGCAGAGAGGGAAGGAATCCGCGTGCCTCCGAGGCCGGTCTGAAAAGGGGCGCCTCCCACCTAAGGGGCATGAGGACATTCTGGGGGCCACTGAGATGATAAGCCTGACATGCCTGCGGGGCACCCAAAGGAAGACGTGCAGGAGGAAGCTGCGTGTCGGGGAGCCGGCAAGAGCCATCCAACTTGGAGTCATCATACAGGTGGGAGCAGGAGCCATGTGAATGATGTGGTGACCAGGGAAGGGTGTGGCGTCTAGGAAAGAAGACTACCAGGGGAAGAGGACCAAATGCTGCCCAGAGATCAAGCAACACTGGAAAGTGAGTGTGGGAAGTGGAGATAAGACTCTTTTAAAAAGTTTGGTGAAGAAATGGAGGAGAAAGAGAGGACGTAGCTAGAGAAGGGAGGATGGAGCCAGTTTAACCACGATGGGAAAAGGTGGACAGCGGGGAAGGTTAAGTTTGTTCATCTACAACAGTATCAAAACACTGCAGCTATAGGGTGTGCCCACTACCCCACCATCCCACCATCCCACCTCTTCCTACTTCCAGAGACAGGGAACCACTATCCTGGTTTTGCTTATTTTTCTGCTTCATAAAAATGATGTCATACTGCACGTGATCTTCTGTCCCTTGACTTTCCCCCCTACTCAACATTACACTTCTAGCATTCATGGAGGGTTCATCCATGGTCTTTCATGTTCTTGCTATGCAACAGTCCACTGTGTGAATACATGCCACCCTTTAGTCATTCTCCTCTCAGTGAGCATTTGGATTGTCCCCACTTCTTTTATTACTGGAACAATATTGCTATGAGCTTTTTTGTACAAGTCTCCTGACACACATGTGAAAGACTTCCTGTAAGACAGTGATATTGAAAGTGTGGTCTGCAAATAATCTGCAGGCCGTCACAGGTCCAGACAGGAGAAGTACAGAAATTGGGACTAAGTATTTAAAGACTCATAGCAATTTGACACTGCTGTGACATTCAGACGGTGATAATTTTTCTAGGAATTTATTTTCCTTGTATATTACTGACAAAGCAGTCCAAGAAAGATTGGAGATTTTTTTTCAAAGCCTTTCACCATACTTTGAAAAGCACAACTCAGCTTCCAGAGCTAATCTGCTAGACATACATATATGCTCATTTCTGTCCTCTGCTTTCGTTGTCCATTTGCTTCTGTTCTTTGCTTCTTTCTTGTTCTTTCAAATAGTGTTTTTGTTAGTTTTCTGATTGTCTTTCCCCCAACTTATATTTTTATAATAGTTACCCTTGAGATTTTACTACAGCTATCTAACAAATTCTAACAAAATCAACATTTGGACCCTCCTGTAACAATACAAAAACCTACAACACTCATTTCAAGAGCTGTGTCCTATCTAACATTATGTTCTTCAATTTTTAGTTCTGTCCCTTTTTTTTAACTGCACAATTAAAGCTTCGTCATTATTATCATTATTTTAAACCAAAACTGTCTCGTATTTGCCTATGTGTGCTGATTTCTTTGCTTCTATTGCTTCTTGTACTGAGACTTCATTTTCCTTAATTCAGAATATCTTTAAGAAGCTCCATTTATAAAGGTCTGTTGGTGGTTGTTTTATTGTTTTGTCTTTTTTGTTTTTCTTGTTTATTTTTGTTGTTGAATTTTGCTTTTTTTGCCTGAATCTTTTACCCTCATTCTTGAAATATCATTTTCCTGGATACACAATTCTGGGTTTTTAATTTTCCCTGGGCTCTTTGAAGATATTATTCCACTAGACACTGCTATTTTGAGAAGTATGTTGTCAGTCTAATTGTTGGTGTTTTGTTTGTTTTAGGTTATCTGTTTTTCTCTCTGGCTGCTTTTAAGATTTTCTCTTTGTCTTTGGTATCCTGGAGTTTATAATGTGTCTAGGTATGGACTTATTTTTATGTATTTCTGCTGATATACATTTTACACTGGGATGTTTTTATATCAGTTCTGAACATTCTCAGTCATTCTCTTCTAATACTATTCCTGTATCATGTCTATTCTCTCCTGTGGGATTCCACATAGACCTCTGTTAGGCTTTCTCCTTTTTTACTCTCTTTTGCTTATCCGCTTTCATATTTCTATGTATTTCTCACTCTGTGGCGCTCCAGCTAATTTTTTTCAACTCAGTCATCCAGTTCTTCATTTCTCTCCTCAGCTAGGTGTAATCTGCTGTTTTATCCATTCACTGAGTTTTACATTTCTATAAGCATATATACTGAATTTCTTAAAGTTCTATCTGGTTCTCTTTAGAATTTGCCTAGTCATTTTTGACAGTCTTTTGTTGTTTCCTCATTCTTGTGATTCTACCTTTTATTTCTATGTGCATTCCATTTGTTTCATAGTCAACACCCAATAATTTCAGTATCTTATGTCCTTGAATATCTAAATCTTGCTAGCATCTGACTGACATGCTGCTATGTACACTTGCCTTTAGGAAAGATCCTCCTATTGAATTTTCTTGCCATTCACAGCTCCAGATTTAGTTCATTTCACTGGCTTTTGGGGGTGGGACAGGTGATGCTGAAGAAGTTACTACCCTTAAAACTTTCTCTTATTTCTTATGAATCCAGAATTGCACTAAAAATATTTTTCTCAAGAATCATTTTGGAGTGGGAGGGCTTTTGGAAGACTGGGTCCACCACACCCCTAGAAGCTGACAATAACTTTTTATCCTGGTTTTCTGGTTGAAGTGTCAAAGGAATGGTAAGAGTAGGGAAAGAGGTTATCACCTATTTTTAAGAAAGTTATTATAATAAAATTGGGAAGATACTTAGAGAATATACCCTCTATATTTTTAAGATACAAATAAAACCAGCTCTGGGCTAGAACTGGGTCATATTGGCTCCCAAGACTCAACTGTGCATCATTTCCCAACTCTTGTACGCAGCAACAACATATCGGTAGCTTGAAATTGTCAAATACTATAAATTAAGGTTTTGTTTTGTTTTGAGACCTGGATGTTAGACATTTACTAGCATACTACTGGACAAAACCCTCCACATCTGGCCCCTCTTATTAATAGCCCACTTACATGGCCAGCCTGGTGGGAACTCTCTTCTCCATCCAAAACAGACAGTGAGCTGTCCCTGGAAATACGATAAATCTGGCCCTATCCCCCTGCTATGGATGACTGAACCTGGGATGTACTCCTCCTCTATCCTAATTCCTTCTCCAACCCTCTTCAGACACTTCCTGCACCCACAACACCAGCCCTTTGTCTCTGACTCAAGGTCAGGACTGATCCCACTGACTTTGCTGTAGTGGATACTTTGAAAAGTCTTTCAGAGCTGTCTATATCACTCTCTTTGCAACTAATCACAACCTGTCTTGTGACACCTCTGCCATTCTTGCCCTGAATTTCTAGTTGAACCATTCATTGTTATTTAATACTTAGTATGAACTTAACTAAATAAAGATATGCATTTTTACCACATATTTGAGTGGTGGGCAGCAACTGCTATCTCGGACAAAGTTCAAGAGTAGATGTCTTTTGCCCCAGGATCAAGTTGGCTCTGCCAACAACTCACTGTATGACCTTGGTTGAGTCATTCTGAGTGTGGCACCTCCCTGTGTCCCCAGTACCTCACCTAATATCTGTCATATGGTAGGTGAAAAATAACCATTGGTTGACCTTTACTAAAATCCACTTCGCCAATCGCACATTTGCTAAACTAGACCAGATGATCTGAAAAGATCCTTCCAAGACTCTTATTTGGTGGTTTGATGTCTTGTTTCTACAACTAAATCGTAAGCTCCTTGGGGGCAAGGTCTTTTCAGAGAGACAAAGCAGTGTAAAGGAAAGAGCAAAGGGTTTGGATGATGGGTGTATCTGCATTTAAATGTCAGCTCCACCACCTACTGGTTGTTTCACCTTGAACAAAGCACTTGATAGAAAAAGAACTGAATCTGCTTCATGAGGGTCATTTGGGGATGAACTAAGATAATGTCTGTAGAGCACTAGGCATAGTGTCTGCACAGGGCAAGGTTACTTTGTCCTGGGGCCAGTGGGGCTTCTGCAACTCAATAGTGGCTACAGAGCTGGTGTGTGTGGCCTGAAAATCCATCGGGGTGGATGATCTGACACATTCTATCTTGGGTTTTGATTAGACTATAGTCTGAAGTTTCCGCCCCCAGATTTTAAGGAGACCACTGCAACTCCCAAAGCAAACAGATGATGGTTCTCAACTCTCATTCCTTTCCCCTCTGCAAGGCTGTTTCTTTTGACCCCCAACTTGCAGCCCAAGCCCCATGAGGGGGTTTCTGGGGCCTGAGCCAAGGGTGAGAAGAAGAGAAGCCTCCTGGGTGCTGCTGGAGCTGGGCTCCCGGGCACGGATAAAGGCCAGGCACCCGGGAGAGGCCAGGGGGTGGACCTGACATCTCGCAGATGATTTCCTTTTTCCTTTTCAGGAAATCAGAAGCTACTCCAGAGAAAGTTGAGTTTACAGGAATGCAGGAGAACAGGGTAATTTTAAATCTTCACAATAAACATATCCAAGAGCAGGAGATGGGGGCGGCTCTGGGAGAGTTTGGCTCGGTAAGGCTCCAGACCCACCTGGCCTCCCGCTACCCCCACTGGGCGCTCAGAGCACCTGGACCCTCACCTCGAGGCCCAGCAAGACATTTTCTTCCCCACCCATCAGGCTTCTGTGGGGTCTCTAAGGCATATCTCTCGGCCCAGAGGCCATGGTCCCAGACGCAGGGTTTATTCCTGGCATCTCTCTACCTCTTGATCCTAGGTTCTTAGCTGGGAGAGAAAAAGGCCTAAAAACTCACCCACGAATTCTGGCGTCCCAAAAATGTTCTTGAATTCAACTCCATCTTCTATTTCGTGAGCGAGGCCAAAGTCAATCAGTTTGATGTGTGGAATGGGAATATTCTTGTCTAACAACATAATGTTTTCTGGCTGTAGAACAAAAAAAAAGAAAAAGGAAGGAAGGAAGAAGAGATAGTAATTAAGGCCCTGCTTTGTGTGTTTGCTTTGGGGTTGCAGTGGGATTTGGTGTTCTTTTTTGGGAACTAAAACAGCATAAATAAACTCTTTCTTGTTTCTGTTTCCTCAGTCTTATATGAACTCAAAAACAGGCACAGCACAGAGGGCAAAGCCTGGGTTTTACCAAAACTGCTGCTCACAGCAGAACTGGAGACTTTTATTTTAATCCCCTTTCTGTCTCTGATAAACAAATTTCTTCAGCGTAGTGCCTCTGTTTCCCATTCTTTCATATGGGGCCAGCGAGACTCTTGCAGCATTTCCTATAAACAAAACCTCCACCTCCACGTGAGTGTGATAGGGTGGGGGCTTTGCATCCTACCCTCGGTTTATCCTTGGTGTATTGACCTTCATCTTCCGGACCACCTCTTTCCCCTAGCTGGCCAGCTTCCTGTTGACAACACTCCCCTCCTCTAGACTAACCATGTGCCTCACACTTCTGTATGTGTTTAACTAATTTTGGCCCTCAGCAGGACACAGGAAAAAATGCACTTGATTTCCAGGGAAAATACCAGTTGCCCAGGTTATTTCCAGCCCAGCAAACAGCTGTCTGATCTGACACAACAGTGCAGGTATGTGTTGACAGCGGGACAGCCCTGCTCTGGCCTCACACACCCCAGGCTCACAGTGAGGCTAGAGTGGGATCCTGAGCCTACCCATCTCACTCCCACCCAACTGCTCAGGGTACATAGCAGGTGACCTCTGTCTCACCCTTTCCTCCCCTTCCCCACCATGACTGCCCCAAATGCCATTCAAAGTGGAATGTCCTAAAAACACACATCCACAAAGAAACTTGTACACAAATGTCACAGCAAATGTTCATCATAGTCCCAAAGTAGAAACAACACAATGTCCACCAGCTGACTACTGGACGGACAAAAATGGTATATCCATACAGTGGAATATTATTCAGCCATAAAGAAGGAGGCAAAGTAAAAATTCAAAGGAATGATGTACTGATACATGATACAACATGGATGAACCTTGGAAACATTGTGGAAGCTAAGTGGGAGAATCAGTCACAAAAGACCACATATTATATGATTTATATGAAATACCCTGAATTGACAAATCCATAGAAATAGAAAGTAGATTAGTGGTTGCCTAGGATGGGGGAAATGGAGAATGACTGCTAATGGGTACAGGGTTTCTCTTTGGTGTGATGAAAATTTTCTAAAATTGTGGTGTTAGTTGTACAACTTCATGAATTGTTCACTTTAAATGGGTGAATTATATGGCATGTGATTTATATCTCAATAAAACAGTTTAAAATGAATGAATGAATGAATCAATCAATCAGTGAACAAATGTTTAAGAAAAGTGAATGTCCCTGTTTCTCAAAGTGCTAAAGAATTTCCTACCTTGTACTTTGCTCACATCATTTGCTCCACTTGGAAAGCCTTCTGCTCAACCTCTGACCCCTGAAATCCTGGCTGGGCTTCAGCCTAACTCAGTCCATCTAGTCCCTGAAACCTTTCCTCACCAGCACTGACTTCCTCCCCACCCCACCGCCCACCCCATCATCCCTGCCCAGAAGTGATTCCTCCCTCCCTGTTCCCTTCAAGCTTATTTGAACCTGCTTGTTATGACAGCTGTCTTGCTCTCCCTTGATCACCAGCCTGTCATGTCTTTGTCCTAGTCTCCTACCAGACCCTCAGCTGAAGGGAAGATTCAAGTCTTCGCATCTTCACCCCAGAACTGCAGAGCCCAGAGGCTGGCAGGCCGAGGGCAGCCCTCACTGTTAGCTGAGCTAATTCTGAATCTGGACTGAAGAGAGCTGCTCCCACCCCAAACCCCCCAGCTCCGTGAAGTCTCTGTGCTCCCACAGTGGCTGGAAACTTTCACTCAAGTGAGCTAGCTGTGTGCCACACCCTCCTTTATCCCTTTTTAAAAAATCAATAATACATTTCCTTTTGCATTTTTTAAGCTTGTTTGTTTTTTTCCCCTTCTGGAGACTTCTCCCAACTTTATTTTGAAAATGTGTCAAAGTCTGTTCCCAAGGCAGAGCAGATCCTTAGGCCCTGCAGGAAGGAGAGTAAAGGCGGGGAGATCAGGAGACAGGGCCAGGCAGACAGGCCCACTCCAGTGCCCCCAGCCCAGCCCTCCAGTGGCTGCCCATGGGCTCCAAGTTCCCTGGAGCCCCATGCAGGGAGCTGTACCCTCCCCGCTGCCCACCACCCCCTGGGCAGGCAGCCTCTCCTCCCTCCATTCCACCACAGTCCTGTCACCTGAGTGGGAACTTGTTCTCTCCTCCAGGGATTGGCCCTGAGGCTTGTCCTAGGGCCCAGGGGCCAGGGCCTGGGGCTTCCTGACCACCACAGCATGCTTAACACTTAACTCATGCTGAATGGGGATGGGAGCCGTGGACAGAGGCAGTCACACTGGACCTGGTGACCCCCGGAACAGTGGGGCTGTAGGGGCAGGGGTGGAATAATAGGGAGGGTGGAAGAACAGCTGCAGGCTGAATTCTCCCAGGCAGCACCACCCTGAGAGGTGAGAGGGGTCCTGCCTCACATCCTCACCTCAGTGTCCCCCCAGTCTGAGGAAATAGCCTCTCCACCAGCTTCTGAGAACCTCAGGGCAAGGCCATATTTTCTCACCTGAGTCCTGCCTGTCCTGAAAAGTTGTCCTGTCCCTGGCTTTACCCCAAGGATCTAACACACAGCAGGTGACTTCTCCCCTACTTGGAACATTCTTCCTGAAGTCCCTACCCCAAGCCTGGCTAATTCCTATTCACATTTCACTAAAAGTAGTACCTCTTCCAGAAGAAGACATCAAGCACACACACATGCACACGTGCACACACATATACACATGCGCATGTGCGCACGTGCCACCTCCCCAGGTCCCACAGCACCCTGTGCTTCCCCCGCTGCGGAGCTTCTTCCACTGTCTCAGGGTGGCAGCTTTCTGATCTGTCTCCCTGCACTGGGTTCGAAACTTCCCAAGGGGATTGTTCCTATCATCTACCCAAAGCTTGGTATGGACCTTGGAATCCGCCAGGTGTTCAGTAATGAGTGATGTCACACACATGCCATTTAGTAAGCCCCTGCAATGCACTAGGCTAGCAAGTGACATACTGTAGACCTCACTGAACCCTCACAGCCACCTCATGCAGTGGTGTTATTATTCCTGTTCAGAAAGAGAAACCAAGACTGAAATACTGGTCTGTGGACACAAGGATTTTACCCTCTACTGGTCAGAATCTAAAGCTTGTGCTCCTAACCACGGGAGAAAATGATCCGCCTCTCCTGCTTCTCAAGGGCCCTAGGAATCTACCCAAGGAAAAGAAGGCATGCGCTTGGCCTGGCCATCTAGGGCAACCTTGCAGCCTGGCTTGGGCAGAGCAAGCTTCCTATCCTGGTGCCTGCTTCCCATCCCAGGTGCCTTTTCCTGCAGTGGTGTCTCACCAAGGCTAGTGGTCCCGAGCCCTGCTTCTGCCAGGCTGTGTCCGGAGGTTCAGAGAGGAGCCTTGGGACCTCCTGGGCTGGACCTCTTCATTTCAGTGTGAAAACAGAGGTTCTGGCAAAGAGAGTCCCAAGGTGGGTCTGGATGGTGACGTGCCTGGGGCTTTCTGACTGGGAGGTGGCGGTGGAGCAGCAGGAATGTTCCACTAGGTGCTCAGGACCTGGGTTCTTGTCCCTGCCTCCCCACTCATGCATCGGGCTATTTGGACCAGATATAGCTTCAGGCTCAGACCCGCCCCTGACTGGGAATAAACAGAGGTCACAGACTTTCTGCCACCAAGCAATGTTTCCTGCTTCCATCCCTGGCCACCAAGGTGATTTCAGTCCAACCAGGGATTTGGGCTCCATATTGGCAGTAACTCTTGCTTTCAGAAAGGCTTCCTTCTTGCCATCCCAGCCTCTACTAACAGCCTGACGCTACCCAGGAGGAAGGCAGGGACTGACATTTATTGACATTTAGCAAAGCAAGGAGTGCGCTAGTGTTCCATGTCATCCTTGCAGTCCCCCTGTGTGGTAGGCACTACTGCCATCCCCATTTCACAGAGGAGGAGACAGAGGCTCAGAAAGCTAAAGCCTTGGCCCTAGGTCCAGCACCTCATAATGGCAGAATGAGGGTGGGCTTCTCTGGCAGTGCAGCCTCTGCTCTTTCCACCATATCACCCAGTTTGGTTAAATATCTTCAGTGTTTCCACTGACCGTCAGACAAAGCCTAAATGCCCTGTTTGATATTTGAGGCATCTGAGACTCTGAACCAACTGCCCCACACTACTTTTCCAGTTTCACCACCTATCGCTTGACTGCGCTTACCCCTTATCCCCTCAAGGTGGGTATCATCATACCCAGAATGACATCTCAATTTTACCTTCTGCTCTGGACCTCCCCCTGTCTAGAATGCCTTTCCAACTCTTCTTCACACCTTCAGAACCTATCCCCCATCCCTGCCTCCTTTTACTCCCTTACTTTTCAATGAAGCGGCCACTGACCTAGAACTCTAACCCCCTCAGCACCGACAATGCTTACAGACGAATGGTCCTAGACGGCAGGCTGTATCTCATACTGTGGTGCTGCCTTCCTGAATAGGGGCCTCCCTGGGAAAAGTCGAAGCAGTTTTAAGATCCCTAGCATCCCCTATGGTGTCCTGCAACCTGCATGTTCCATTGAAATTTGCTGATAGGTGTTGAAAGAATTGGTCCTCCCTTTCAGCCCGTGGAGACCTCCCACCACCACTAGGGGCACCCTAGCACCTTCCTCGCCAAAGGGCTGCTAAGGAGCTGGGTTAGGAGGGAAGAGGGACGGAGGGAGGCTCCCCAAGGGTAGCCAGAGGGCCAGCAAAGCAGAAGTACCCCCAGGGGCTCGCTCTAAGCTTCTTTGCTTTTCCCCTCCCCAAACAGGGTAGGGTGGTAGAAAAGAACCAGGCCTGGGTGTTGGAGAATTCCAGTTGCAGCTCTA